GGAATTGTGAAATGAGTGTGATTGAAAATGTTATTCAATTATACTATTTCACAAAGTAAGGACCATAGGTAAAGATAGTGTGCATGATAAGAGAATGGGACAATTATTGTTATAATTCAAGTAAGAAGTTGATTACCTGAAACAACAAATAATGAGTAATCAATATGGTGATTAAATAAAATGTTTTATTTATACCTAGAGTTTGGGGCCATATGGGATTAGTATTATTCTTGTGTTTCACTTTGCATGTTTTGACTTCCTGAATAATTAAATTATTTCATAATAATCAAATTATTCGAACGGTCTACAGTCGTTCATATCTTGGAAGTAGGTATGAATGAAGACTGTCGTGAATTGATGTGTGGATTGTCTAAAGTGTATTCGACATAATCAAATGTTTTCTGCAACGTTCATGAGTGCTTATGAATATGATTTAAGCATTGGATTAAACCCATGCTCACTTGGATCACTTCAAGGATTTTATCACGAGTGATTGGTGAGACGATAACATCTTATATTCTTGAAACCGAGATGTGTGAGTTGTATCTTTCGAGTCGGTTACACATTGATAATATGTAAATACACCAATAACTTGGTGTTATAAAACATATTGTTGTGTGTGATTCGGTGAGTAAGTGCAAGCAAGCATTGAATAAAATTTTATTCATTCCTTTTATCCAAAGTGGGATGAAAGCGATATCTGTGGGCCCCTCGATGATTTAGTGATGAAACCTAGGCGCTTGGCCAAGTCGGGACTAATTTGATGTGTTCAATTGTAGTCTATTGTCAATCGTCATAAATTGGAAATCGGGAAACAACACGTAGATAGAGAGAATGATTTAAATCCATGTCTCAGTCTATACGATATCTAGAATGGAGGAATATATGATCCCTTATCTAAAGGACGCGCTTCTGATAGGATCAGAGTTGAAAACGGCTTTTGAAAGCTACGATTGCGGATCAGGATCTCAAGTCATACGCAGAATAGTTATTAGACTTATCCAAGTGGGAGACTGTTGGATTAGTGTCTAAGTCCATAACTATTTTGGTATGCACTTGACCCGATGGTGCATGGTCCTTTTAGGTTGCCTTCACCAAAGCAACTTGATAGGATGAATTATGGAGATAGAGGATTAATTATGATTTATTAATATATTATGAGAATAATATATTAAAGGAGAAATCACATTGTTTAATTAATATTAGTCAATAATTAATTTTATGGCTAAAAGATATTAACTAAACTTAAGGGACTAGAACTGTCAATTGTGTCATAGTCGAATATTGGGCTAATGGACTCCATAGAGGATGGAGTGGATGAATTATATGGGGAAACCCATTAGAAATCGTCCAAGGCCTCTAAGGAGGGAGTCCATGGGCTGCTTAGGGCCTAAGCAGTCAAATTAGGATTTCCTTGTTAGATAACCCTAATAGTCTCACTATTTAAGCATCCTTATGACACCAAAAACGTGGCTAAGAGTTTCCTTAGGGTTTCTACACGTTTTTGGGTGCCTCTTCTCTTCTTATTCTTCATCCTCTTGGTCTTGGTGTTTGTGAGCCATTAGAGGAGTGATACTTGTGACTCTAAGCTTTCTAACGCCATTACAAGGAGGATTTGAGATTGTTATTGCTACATAACAATCAAGGTAACATCTAAACCCCATTCTTATGTTAATATTGATTATCATATGATAGATCTAGGGTTTAAAGTCTTGGATGAGTTGCATGTACAATAGATCCAAGCATTAGGGTTTGCATGAGCACATAGGATGTTCTTATGGCTAAAACCCATCATATATATATATATATATATATATATATATATATATATATGTGTGTGTGTGTGTGTGTATTCTATCCTTATATTAAATTTAATACTTTCATAACTTTTTTGTAGATAATTTGGAAGATCAATCTAATGTGGTTGGCGGGATAGGAATTGATGTACCTGTTATCCGTGCAAAGCTCAAACCAAGAAAGCTATCTCAAAGGATTATTTAGAATATTAGATTTAGGAGCTGGAATGGGACAAAACTCTAGTCTTTTGTAATATTTTTGTTACTTGGAGTTTAGTATTCCTATTATTTTGTTATTGAAATGTAATAACATTATGGAGCATAACATAACTTTATGCCTTTATCTTCCAATTGAATCCAAATGCTTAAATTGTAAAAAAAAAAAAAAAAAAAAAGAAAGAAACTGGGGAAATGCAGGTAAGTATTGAAACCAAAAAAAAATGAAATCAACAAAAATTATCTCAATAATGAGATAATATGTGACCAAAAGGGTAAAATCATCCAACTAATTTGTACCCAAATATAAAATGACATTAGAACCATAAGAAGGGAGCCTAGAACAATCCATATACTCACACATCTACATTCTCTTCATAAAACACATGAATACACTAGTCTCTTTACAAAGGTGCATAAACCAAACAACATCACCCTAATACATAATTAGCTATTTTACATTAACCTAGTTTCCCTATTACATAATTATAATTCAAATGAAGATGCAAACCAGAACAATACCAAACATCATCAACCTAACCATGAATACACCAGTGTCTTTTTCTTCAATCAGCTCAAAGTTTATTAATTTTTTTTGCAGATTCAAATTCTCCTTCTCCAATTCCATATTCTTTTTGGAAAGGATCGTATTATGCTTGAACAAATCTACATTCTCTCTATGCAAGTCATCCACTTTACTCTTATACCAGTGAAGACCCAAATCCTCATCCACCCACACAAAAAATTTACAATCTTTTGAAGCATCCTACAAAAAAATGAAGTATTTGAGTAAGAATTTGAGAAACAATATCAATCTTAAAAGGATCCCAAATCCTCATCCACCCACACAAAAAAATTACAATCTTTTGAAGCATCCTACAAAAAAATGAAGTATTTGAGTAAAAATTTGAGAAACAATATCAATCTTAAAAGGATATCATATACCAACGAAATAGGGGATCAAATGAAATGTCGGCATGGGTTCTTCCTCATCGTTGAAGTCCAAATCTTTGGTTGTTCACCACATTTACACAAAACGTTTTTGTAGTTCGGAGTTGAGGAAGAAGAAGAAGATCCGTACGATCGATTGCCCATTTCTGCAAAGACGAAGTTAAAAGAAGAAGATGAACAAGAACAACATCGTAACTTTGAAGAAGCAGAATAAGATGTGATGCACTTTTTAACCTAGTTTTCTTTGCCTACGTGTCACCCAATGTACAACCATGTCATCTATTTAGATGGCACGAGATTTATGCCACCGGTTCCTTAAACTTAACCGGTTACAAATCATCAAAACAATAAATTTCTGAAATAATAATGGTTAAATGGTACCAATTGATAATATAAGGGTTTTTTTAAGCGTTAGTGTATAATACATAGGGTTTTTGTGAGGTTTTCCCTATATATATATATATATATATATATATATATATATATATATATATATATATATATATATATATATATATATATATCCGCGCGATGCTGCAAGCGTCTATTAGTTTCCGAGCGTCGTTAGTTTCCTTTCAGAAGCTCTTTTGGTTGAATTTGTGATATTTCTTTTTTAGCGATTAATTGCTCGAAGAAAACGACTATACTTGGAAGATATATTTGTCGAAAAGTTGAAATTTGACAGATAAAATCTTAACACAAATAAATGTTAAAGATGATGGTGATTTACAATTACCAACACTATAATTCATAGAAGTGTTAAGTTTGGTATACAATTTTCAAAATGTATTTGAAATATTAAAGGGAAATATTTTTCTAAAAATATTTATTTGTGTAAATTATGGTTATTGTCAATTAAAATATTAACTTATTTCTTTATTAGTACATTTGTATATGAAAATTAATAAGTGTCAAAAAATCAAATTAAATAAAAAACCTAAATTTAGAGTACAAACAAAATCAACAATCTAAATTATAAGAAAACTAAATCGGAGTTGATAAAATATCATTTTCTAATTTGAGTTTTGATTATGGTCTATTAGATTTTTCTATGAAAAACGTCATATTTAAACAATTTAATGAAAATATGATTATCTCCAAAGTCCAAACCATTTCATACATCGGCGGAAAACAATTTTCAAAATATTATATTTTTTAAATTGACAATTCAAATTAATTTATGTTTATATAACTATCAAATCTCATTGGTAACTATTTAGTTATAAGTTATTGAAAACATCAATTTTTAAAATTATTGAAATTTAAATGTATAAATTAAAAAGCAAGTTAAATATTGTACATATTGATTAAAAAGAAAACAAATATACTTTTTATATTACCAATAAAAAGTTATGATGACAATATAGCTATGATCTTTTTACTATGTCATGCATGATAACAGTCAAAAGTTAAGATAACATTTAATTTTTCAAGTATGTCAACAATAAACCATTCATTCGGCCCAAAACTCTTCTCCTTGATTTTAATTTTAAGATAATGTCTTCAACTTGAAAAAGCCCAACAATATGTATGTAGTCTAGTTGGTAGGTAGCATCAAAATCAAAAAACTTATGTTACCCACTTGCCTACAATCTTTGGCAACCCTCTTGAATTTGAATTTTATGGTATTGTATTTCGTGAAGTTTAAAGTAATGGCCAAAGTAATTATAAGAAGAGAAGACGTTTTTCAAGTATTTTAATTTGTTTTAACTGTTTGTTGTAAAATTAAGTCAGGATTACTAATTCCACATCTCTTACTATAAAAATCCACCATTGCCACCTGGTACCAACTGATATCTGTATCTGTATGAGTATTCAGTGACAGATTTGTCCCTGACTAATACTTGATTTTACAGAAGTGAAGCTTCTAAGAGGATATCAATCTCCAGTAACTTAATTATTTGTTTATCTACTACATAATGATTTAAAAAAACATATGAGAAGTTTCATAACAAAAAGGCGTTTACGCAAATACATATTATCAGGATGCATGTAGCGAACATGATAAAAGCAAATAACATTGAAAGTACAATAATATCAAGCCTTGATCAACAGATTTGAAACTTGGCGCATTGCAGGCCTTTCTTGTGGATTCGAGTTCAAACATGCTCTTGAGAGATTCAATACCAAATTCACTTTTTTCTCAACTTGTGCTGAAGGACGTGGAATACGACTATCTCCAACACTTGATAACACTAGATAATTAGCAAACAATGTTGGTAGTTCATCTGGATGTTTGCCCATCATCGCTTCTAGTGCAACAATCCCAAAGTTATACACATCACATTTCTCGGTTGCCACCATCGTAAAAGCAGGCTCTACATCCAAGGATATATGAGATAAAAACATAAAAAAGTTATATCAACCTCACAAGATTCTAACATAGATACATATATGTACATATACTTTTATATATATATATATATATATATATATATATATATATATATATATATATATATATATATATATCAGGAAACATGAGAAAATGTAGAACTAACATCAAAAAGAACGTTATCCGGCACGATATAACCATAGGTTCCTGCAATAGCAGTCCAGTTGGATGAGTCTAGCTTTAGAAGCTTGGAAGTGCCAAAATTAGAAATATGTGCCTGATAATCAGAATCAAGAAGGATATTGGCAATGGAAATGTCTCTATGAATTAGAGGAGGTGAGCAATCGTGATGCATATAAGCCAAACCATTAGCTATAGCCTTTACAATATTTACCCTTTTCAACCAATCGAGTTCTTGTACTAAAACATCACTTCTTAAGATTGATCTAAGGCTTCCCTTTTCAAGGTATTCATAAATCAAAAAATGAGTGGTGCGCATGAGAGCAATATCCATAAAGTTTCACTCTATTTCGATGCCTTATGTTGGTTAATGCTCGTATCTCGTTAAGGAATCCATTATGATCGACATTCTCAGATGATGAACGAAGTTTCTTGACAGCTACCATATTGTTAGGTTGTAGCACGGCTTTGTACACAGTCCCATATCCTCCGGTCCCAATAGAGTATGTGTCATCAAAATTATTCGTTGCTTTCAAGATGTCATCATACACTACTCCCCCATCAAAACTTGTTATGGAGAAATAATCACCACCTTCTTTTCCAATGGTTTATGTGGAGAATGTTTCTTTTGTTTTCGATAAGCAATGAAGCCATACATGAAAAAACCAAGTAAAATTGCCACGATAAGAGGGAGCATAATTACAAGGATTAGCCGATGATGAAAGGGGTTATTTTTCTTCTTCAAGATTTGGTTGCACAAAGTTTTAGTCCTATAAAGTTTCCACACAAACCTGGATTTCCTTGTAAGGATGCGTTCTCAAAGTTAGAGGAAAGGGGAATTGGACCTGTGAGTTCATTGTTGGACAGGTCGACGGCAATCCCACTAGGAAAACTTGTAAATGTGATTGGAATTGAACCATATAGTCTATTGTGAAAAAGATTCAATTTTTGCAAACTTTGCAAACTTTGAACTTCAAATGGTATCTCTTCTGTGAGCAAATTTTGAGATAAATCAAGTTCTGTAAGATGAACTAATTTACCAATCTCAGATGGAATTTTCTCACTAAGTTGGTTATTACTAAGATTCAGGTAGCGGATGTGTACCCATTTACCAATACTTTTTGGTATCGACCCATTCAATCTATTTCTAGAGAGATCGAGTTCTTCCAAGAGTTCATAGAATTCAAGCTCCTGAGGTATAATACCTTTAAGTTGGTTATCAGCCAAGCATAAATTCAACACACTTTTCATCTTCCCAAACTCCTTTGGGATCTCACCAATCAAATGATTCAAAGACAGATCAAGTCTTTGTAGTTGAGTTAAATTTCCAAACTCTAGAGGAATCGAACCACTAATTTGATTGTCGTTCACTTTAAGATCTGCGAGAGACTTCAAATTCACTAGTTGAGTAGGAATGGGATCAGCAAGCTGATTGTGATACATATAAACAAAATTTAACGATGTCAAATCACCAAATGATGAAGGAATAGAACCTCTAAGCTGATTTCTACTCAACGAAAGATGTGCAAGAAACTTCAACTTCCCAAGTTCACTAGGAATGGGACCAAAAAATTTATTATCTTGGAGAGACAGCCATTGTAAGTTGCTCAGGTTTGCTAGTGATGAAGGAATAGAACCACTAAGTTTATTCAAACCCATACATGACTCAGGTCTCGGTACATCTTGGTTGCCCCCAGGTGAATAGAGAAGTGAGACTTATGAGCTTCCTCCATGATTGTCTGTCTGACCCCACCAGACATCGGAACCCATACCTGACCGCATCGGGTCAATAATCCTCGGCTATCCTGCACAAACCGGGTGTTCTCACCCTTGATCCTCTCCAACTTCCAGTTCTCTGGTCGCATGCCCTCAACCTGAGCATCGCTAATCAAGCTCATAAGCGGAGAATCCACCGTTATTTTCATACACACTACTGGGGTGGAAGACCTAGCTGCCTTGCGGCTCAAAGCATCTGCCACCATGTTCGCTTTACCGGGGTGGTAAAGGATCTCGCAATCGTAGTCCTTGACTACATCCAGCCACCTGCGCTGCCTCATGTTTAGTTTCGACTGATCCATGATGTGTCTCAAACTCTTGTAATCCGTGTATATGGTACAACGAACCCCATATAAGTAATGTCTCCATATCCTGAGAGCGAACACCACCGCTCCCAACTCTAGATCATGAGTAGGATATCTCATCTCATGCGGCTTCAGCTGCCGTGATGTATAGGCTATCACCCATCCTCTCTACATGAGGACCACCCCTAAACCTGTGATGGATGCATCACAGAACACCACAAAATCCTCCATGCCCTCCGGGAGTGTCAAGATCGAAGCCTCTCACAAACACTGACGGAGAGTCTCAAACGCTCTCTGCTGCTCCTTACCCCACCGGAAATCCACTCCCTTCCTCGTCAGACGAGTGAGGGGTATTGCAATCTTAGAGAAATCCCAAATAAACCTCCGGTAGTACCCTAATAAACCCAGAAATCTCTTGATGTCCGAAGGAGACCTCGGCACCTCCCATTGCATGACTGCCTCGATTTTGGTCGGGTCGACCAAAATCCCCTCCTAGTTAACGAGATGTTTGAGGAACTGGACCTCTCGAAACCAAAAATCACACTTAGAGAACTTGGAATACAACCATTCTCATCTCAAAACTCCCAATAACTCCCTAAGGTGCTCCTCATGCTGCTCTCGGGTCTTAAAATACACCAAGATATCATCTATGAACACAATGATCAAGCGATCAAGCATCAGTCTACAAACCCGATTCATCAGGTCCATGCATACTACTAGCGCGTTGGTGAGCCCAAATGGAATCACCACGAACTCGTAATGACCCTAAAAAGTTCGAAACATGGTCTTCTCCACGTCCTCCTCTCTGACCCAGAGATGATGATACCCCGACCTCAAATTAATCTTGGAGAACCAAGATGCGCCCTAAAACTGATCGAAGAGATCATCTATCCTAGGGAGTGGATAACGGTTCTTCACCGTCAACTTTTTCAGCTCCTTATGGTTTTGTTAATTAATTAAGGTGTATAATTAAAGGAGATTTAATAAACCCATAAAGTCTTGGTTTACATTTAATTAAATTAAAAGTATAATTTATTAAATTAAACCACCTAGTATTTTAAAAGTGTCAAATACACCTTATACTGTATATAACATTAAAAGTCTAATATTATATATATATATATATATATATATATATATATATATATATATATATATATATATATATATATATATATATATAATATGTATGAGTAAACAGTCAGTCTTACCGTTAGTAGGCCTCATTCACGAAGCTGGTCTATAAGGGGTGTTTAAGGAAATTGCCTATAAAATGGAGATTGAATGGGTATCCACTCTTACCCACCGCACTCCTGACTGGTGAAGGGTCGTTAGTTGAACGGGTAGGATAGGACGAAAACTTCCATTATAAGTATAATGAAGTACAAAGTAACTAAATGCTTTTACAAATTCCCAAATCATAGTTACTTTAGGCAAAATGTGAAATTATATGCTAATCCATGGAATTACACTTCGTACCCTTTTCAAACGTTAGTGGAGCATGTGTGGTTAACCAGCACACTAATTTGGGGTTGACACTGGTAGCGAAGGGTGGCTCGATATTTATCATAGATTAATGGAGCGTATGTGGCTAACCGACACATTAATTAGGTGATAGTAGCATTTGGTGCACCATGTTGATTCATAGGGTTATTCACACCTTGTTTGTGATCCTCGGTATCCCAGTCGCAAACTTGCAGGGTATAATCGAGATTAAACATGCCATTGAAAAGTTCAATGAATCTCAAAAGATCTCGGAGTCTCAATTCATTTAAAACTTAAACCTCATTTCTTCTTTTCATGGTGGAAACTGGTGAATCGTCATTCATCTACCTTCAAATATTCTGCAACCAGATTACGACATCCCTCTTCTAGGTTATAGAGTATTGTGTTGGATCCTAGCCTTGATATTTCATTTGGGTTTTACATCAAGGATTCTTATCAACTATCTTGACTTTTATCCCGTTTTTGTAGATGTATGAATCTTACAATGGTCTTCCCAAATTCCATGGAACAAGCTTCCCAAATGAAGATGACATTCCACAATACGATCGAGGTACTCAAGGTCATGCTTCACTTCCTCCACCTCCTCCTATTGTTCTCCCTAATCTACGTGATCGAAGCCTTGAAAAGTTCAAGCTCACTCAAGCCCTATTGGCAGTTAAGCACGAAGATGGAAAGTTTGTTTGTGCACGTGTCTTAGAGATGAAGTCACACATTGACAGGTTGGGTATGTTGGGTGTTGGCATATCTAAGGAGCTGGTTGTATACTGGGCTCTTAAGTTGCTTCCTGAATCATATAGTGAGTTCGTAAGAGCGTACAATATGATGGAAGCATGACGTGACACTCATCGATCTCACCTATTTGCTTGTTGCTGCTGGATCAGCAATGATTTGGCGCACCGGAAAAGCAAAGTTGATTGGTAGATCTGCCTTCTAAGCCTCCATGGAAATAGGCAATGGCAACGAAAGGAATGCCATGGTCGAAAGGTTTGACCATAAGAGAAAGGCAAGGTCTGAAGTAGTGTCATGTGTTGTTCCAAAGGAATCAATTTGCTTTTATTGCCAAGAGAAGGGGCATTGGAGACAAAGTTGTCCTATTTACCTGAGAGATCTAAGAGATGGGGGAGTCAAGATGTATGGCTCTACTTCAGGTAAAATCCATTAACTAACTCTATAAGTTCCTATTTTGATACATGATGTGATAAGATTACATTTTTATGTTTTGAAGAACCAAAGAAAATAAAGGAAGCTTAAAGAAGCGTGCTGAACCTAATCATGAAGAAATGGATTTCAATCGCATGGATTCGAGGATCGGATTTTTGAGCTGTTACTTTAGAGTTAGGGTAGATTGCTAAGAAATATGTAATAACATAGTTTTTCAGTTGAACTGCATTGTAAGGACAAAGTTTTTCTACATTAAAATAAAATTTGATTTTGTCTTATTTATTTATCCATGCAATGGCATGTATGAAAAATTGATGTTTGAATGTTTATACTATTAGAAATAATGGATTTGATTCTTAATTATGCTATTTGTGGAAATGTCGAGAATTTACCAAATAGGGAGAGTTTCTCATCGCCCAAGTTTCAATTGGACAGAAACTTGGAATCATGCAACCTGCATTGTGTGATGAATGAAAAACTTTCATATTTAGAAATTAGACTAATTCCTTGACAAAGAGTCTAGTGAAGGGCTAGGGATGAGGTACACATGGTTGTGTGCTGCTCAAGTCCACCACAAAGAGAGACAAAGTATTCGTCATGATTTTCTAAAGTTTAGTAAATATGATTGTGCTTAGAAGATTAAGTGTAATTCTGAGTTGCTTGAAAAAGATTTCAATAAATGGTAGAACAAATAAGAAGAAAGATGAAAGATTCACAATTCTAAGAAGAAGGGAGAGTACCTTTTATCGTGTTTTATGATAAGTCTTAATGATTAAGAACCATATCTCAATTGATAATAAGTGAGTCTTAGTGCATTTGTATGGCTAAGAAGAGGAATCGAGAAATGTGGAAATGGTTAAATCAAGAAGCTAATCACACTTCGTTCCAATATCAAGTCTTAGAGTCATACTCCAAGATTGTGACATTGAGTGAAACGTCTTTAGTAGGTTTATAACACTCAAAAAATGTGGAATTTGAAAAAAGTTTTCTTATTCTTTCACATTTGAAATTGGTAAGTTGTGATGTCTTGGATAAGACAAAGACCAACTAGGACCAATTATGTGAAGTGTTTTTTTCTTGATAAGAACTACACTAACTCTTGAATATTTGTTTTTTCTAGGAAAGTTTCCTGACAAGAGAATCATATATCTCAAGAGGTTAGTGGGAGTTTTAATGATCTTCAAAAAGTTTCAAGAACAAATCAAGAATAAACCTTATCAGTCATTAGTAGCACACGACTTGAGGTTTACAACCTATCGTGTTGACATAATCTTATTTTTGTGCCATTCCAGTTTGGTTAATTGTGCAAGTGAGTTCTATGAGTTCTCATTTGAATGCATAAACGCAAAGCACCTTGATCAATGGAAAATACATTGATATGTACGGGTGAGTTTTTAAAAAACTTGGAATACATGGTGGGAATTCGTGCTACCATGAGGCAAAAAATGAAAATTAAACAAGTTCATTCCATATAAGTTTGGATTTATCGTAAACCTTATCTTACGATCATGGTTATGGCAGATTCACATGGATAGGAACACATACACTTTAAATTCTATGTGTCATAAGGTTTCTTTCCTTCTTGAAAATGATTGTGAGGAAATACTTTCACTAAGAGAGATTTTAAGGAGACAGCAGTTGTGAAAATTGTATTCTCAAATTCGGTTATGATTATGGCATCCCTCTTCATAGATCGAATTGTGAGATTTGTCGATTAGTCTGAACATTGGGACCTTAGTAATATAAGTTATGAATTAGTTTAGACACAGATGTGAGCTATATAAGGTAAGGTGTAAGAGTTTGAGAAGCTAAGATAAAGATTTATCGAAGCATCTAGTATTAGAAATATGGATTTTGGAATTCAATAAGCATTGTTTTCTAGAAGTTCAAGTGTTTTCTGAATACATGTCA